CTCTGCAGTCACCACTGTTTTCCATTTCTAAAACTTTGTCATCACTTCAAAAGGCAAATTTAAGCCTCACAAAAAGCCCTAGACTTAATTAAGCAGGTAGAAGAATGAGAAGCGGGCGGCCATGGGTGAGCCCCAGGTGACACAAGAAAGTTTTGGGTTTTTGAACTAAGTGATAAGGCCAGTGCTCAGAGAAACACCCAGAACTAGGGCTCAAGTTGCCAGGCCAGTGATTGCTCAGGGCCACCATGTCCCCATTTCCCACAATCACACCATTTGGTGCCTTCCATGGGCTTCCCTTGTATTTAATTCCAGCAGACTTACCTTGCCAGTGTTTTTCTATTTTGTTTTGTTCTAATTTTTTGTTTGTTTGTTTGTTTGTTTGCATCAAATACAAAGCAAAAAGACTCATGATAATATTATGGCCACAATAGTACATTAACTCAAGTCTTAAAAACCAGAACCACTTTTCTTTTTGGACCCAGAAGCATAGTTATTCTGCCCATAAATGAGGCATTCTTCCCTGCTTTGGGCCCGCTTAGGAGCCCTGGCTGGTGGCTGTCAGGTGACAGGTTCACATTCCAAGTTCTCTGAGCCCGGATGGGTTTCAGTTCACGTGTGCAGGTGCCCTGACATCTGTGGTCACCCACTGAAAACACACCTGGAAGGATTTGTGGGCTGCAGCTCCCAAATTTTCCCTCGTTCCAGTTGCCCTGACATTACCTACTTAATCCAGGGCTGATGGAGGAGCTGCTGAGGACTCTGCCCTTGGATATAGCTGTATCTATTGCAGCAGTAAGACATTTTGGTGAATAACTAAGGTGGGGTGAAGTGTTCAGATCTCTCCTAAACTGTCAATGCATAAGTTATTTCGGGCTTCAAACAGTACTTTTAGTGAATACGTATTTTTACTGTGTAAACACTCTCTTTAGAAGCCCCGTGTTCTCAGGGTGTATAATGGGAGTTGTTTGGTTTCAGTTATGCAGTTGAAGTAAATGCTGTGAGTGAGAAGAGTCAATTATGCAAGGGGAGCGGGAGGGAGGGAGAGACAGAGAGAGGATTCCTGTGCACTGATTGCCACTGGTATCCTGATAACTGCCACACAGAGCCTATCCAGAAAGACCCGGTGTTCAATGCCAGTATGGCCAAAGCCTGAAAAGTCAGGAAGCTCTGGCCAGTGGATGGGACCGGAGAGAGGGGATCCCTGAAAGCTGATGCCACTGCTTCCTGGTGGTCAGGCTGATCGTCCCAGATAAGAGCCAGGATTCCAACTGAGTGTTTTCCTCTGCCTAGGAGAAAGGGAATTGTGTGACAGGTGTGATGGGCTAGACTGCACAACCAGACGTTCGGTTGGGTGGTGGGGGGCCACTGCATGGCTGAGGGGGACTCAGTGTCTCCCTTTCGGGCACACATGTGGAGTCCCCGCTGCGGTGTGGATGCTTCCACCCACTTTGGTCTCCTCCTACTGCCCTGCAGCTGTAGGCTGGCCGTGGAGGGAGGACAGACCCCTCTGCCCACTGTGGGATCCTAGTGTCCTGTTCTGTACACAGCCCACAGAGAAGTGGGGTCTCTCCTGGGTGAGATGTGCGCCTGAGCTACATGGAAGGACATTCATGCCACCTACCTTTGCCCAAATGCTCCTGACTGAGGCAGGTGACCTGGATACACTGTGCCCCGGAGTTCCCTGTGAAGCATGAGGTCATTTCGGGGCTGGAGGAGGAAGGAATGGAACGGGATGGGTGCAAGGTGTGGGTCACATAGCACAGAAAAGGAACCGTGAGGCCCCAGGGAACGAGTGTGGGAGGTCCCTTGGTCTCGTCCTCTTGACTCCATAACTCCTCTCATGACTTCCTCCTGCAGGTCTTGCCAACCATTTCCATTCGTTCCGGACAAAGTGCTGGGGGAGGGCACCCAGGTCCGCACACACAGCTGAGAAGACAGTTCTCCCTCCCGGGCCTTCCAGTGCCACTGCTTGTGCTAGGTGCAGTCACATGGTGGCTTTTCAGGACATGTGACTTGTCCTCATTTGCTGCTGGAAATAGGACACAGGGAGGCATTTAGGAGAGAGCCTGGATCTTCCCACTGCGGCCCGGTGTGCAAGCTGCCCAGTTCTTGAACAAGATCCTGCAGGCAGAGGGATGTGGAGGGGTGAGGTGTGCCCAGACTGGGCTGGGCATCTGCACAGCCTGCCACCCCCTTTCCCACAGGCGCCAGCACAGCAAGTGGCCTGCAGCCCCGCCACTGTGTCAGAGCTGCCACTGCAGAAACGGAGGAGCCGAACAGGGATAGAGGGCAAAGGAAGCCCGTGCTGGATTCAAAGCTGTTTTGATTTACATCTTGACTGCACCATTTTAGCCAAAGTTGGGGTGAATCTCTATGCCTCAGTTTCCCATCTGTGAATGGATATCTGTGCACTTGGCACCTGGGGAACCCATAGTATGTGACCCACTGCAGCAGGCTTCAGGGGCCGTCGGGGCACACAGGTGGTGCATGTAGCCTCTGTTAGAGATGACGTTAGAGTCAACAGTGCTCTCTTGAAAGAGAGGGAAGCGCAGGGAGGATGGAGACAGGAAGAGACTGTTCTACGTGCAGAGGGAAGCAGGAGGCAGAGGCCACCAGGAGGGACAAGAAAGGCGGAAGTGAGGTGAAAATGCAGCAGTTTGTCCTTGGAACTCTAAACATCACCACACTACAGGTAAACTTAAATCCTGAGCCTGAGTCTCCGGGGCAGCCCTCAGAGGACCCTGTTGCCTAATGCATACAATCAACTGAGGGCAGGGGTGTGAGGAAAGAGTATGGTGTCCTGAGGAGATGGACATGGTGTCACTCTAAGGCAAAGGAGCGCCCTGTATCTTTGCCAAGGGAAAAGCAGCGTTCTGCCTTTGAGTGCTTCTCGCCAGAGCAGGGACATCTTGCTGCCCATCCTTGGTGATTAAGAAGCAATTTTGAGACCTATTCTTACAGTTCACCAAAGCTCCCTGTTTTCTTCCTTTCTTTTTGATTTAGAGAAATACATAAGTGACTTTTAAAAGGCCATTGTCTGGGGGCCAGCTACATATTCATGTTCACAGAAGCAGGGAGCCTATATTCTACGTTGTAAGGAAAAAAATTCTTCCAAATTCATAATGATGTGTATAAGCAGGCCAGTCTGATGTGGTCCAGAGACTACCTTCCACCATGGTGGGGAACAGAAACATTCAGATTCCCCCATTTGTAGAGATAAAAAATCAAATCAGTGCAAAACTAATGTGATATTATTGAAACAATTCAAAACTAATTCAAAACCAATGTGATATCATTGAAATAATTACATATTCTGTTTTCTGATTTGTGTACAAACAAGGGGGAGACACCTGTCTTTGCAGATACGTTGTCTGTAGTGATGTCTGTCCTTCAACTCCTGCAGGAGCCCTGAAGGCACAGGAATCACAGCCCTGCCGCCCTCCCTGGCTGGAGATGAGTAGGCAGAGGAGCATCTGACATCTCATCTTGCTGGCATTTCACTTTGTTCTAAGTCCTTTCTTCTGTTTCCGCCAGTACATTTTCTGCTGAGGTTCTGCACACGGGCATCAGAATGAGTCAGAAGCATCTAAGTGTACTTTGTCTTACAGGTTTAGTGATTTAATGATGCATTTCTTGGCATATAAATGGCATGCGATCTCTGTGCATCAGATGCACCCCAGGCAGTGGCCCTCTCAGACCAGCCTTTGGGACTCAAGATTAAAAATCCAAGGATGTTTATGTACTTGGTTAGGAGTATGGGTATAGGATTGGGATTCGGTTATTCTAGGGAGGGGCTTACCCCCTAACTAGTTTCTGAGCTGAAGGATCTGTCTGTACAATGACAACAGAGGGGGAGGTGCCATGAGCCCCCAGCAGGAACAGACTCTGAGACCTCACAGCCTCAGATCTAGCATGTGCCGGGGCTGGGCCAGACCAAGAGGCCCCGCAGGTCTGTGTGGAGGCCTCAGTGAAGCCCAGGATGCACCAGTGGGAGGGCTGAATCTCTCATATGCTGGGCTCTGGCACAGGGGTCTGCAGCTGTCACCATGGAGAACCAGACAAAGGAGTGTGGCTTTAAACGTGTCTCTGGACTCCTAATGTTCTTCTTCTCTGCAGACTGGATTGTCACTAGTAGTGGAAGGGCCTTAAAGGCCAGTGCTATATAAGGAAATCAGCAGAGCAAGAGAAAGAGAAAGGGTTGGCTTTACCCTCCTCTTCTGAGCTGTCGGGAGAAACTGCCTCCTCTGTGCTGCCATGTGTCTGTGCAGTGTTTCCTGCCTACTGCACGAGGGCTTAAAAGAACCCCTAGGGTGTCACAGAAGGGTCAGAAGTGTTCCGGGACGCCCACTGTTGAGGGACGGCCCATGGCGGTGATCAGCCTCTATCCTTAGTTGCAGTCATCAGTAAGCCAAGAGCTGACTGTGGGTCCTGGGAAGAAATCAGGTCTGCACGGTGCCTGGTAAACGAGACGCGCAGATAGATGGGCACTTCTGTTGTGTGGGTAGTGAGCACGGGGACAGGCCTTCCAGCAGAGGAGAGGCTAAAGTCAGGCGTGTGGCAGGCACTTGTAATTCCAGCACTTGGGAGGCTGAGGCAAGAGGATCACCATGAGTTAAAGGCCAACTTCACCTATGCAGTGAGCTCCAAGGCAAGCTTGAACTACATAGGAAGACCTTGTCTCAAAAAAAGCTGGGGTGGTCCAACCAAGGGCCATCCAGAAGATGATTGTATCATTCTGAAATTAATGGGTGTCACCTCTGACTTCTTCAGTGAGAATAGGAACCAGGTAGAAAGCAACATAATGTTTATTGAAGCCCCTGAGGTGGGTCTCACTGGAGGGTAGAGGCATGGCTGAAGACCAAAGGGGAGGTAAGAAGCCCCTTCTGTTGTGTCTTAGTCCACTTTCTGTCTCTGTAACAGGACCCCCAAGATGGGGATCAATAAGGAACAGCAGCTTACTTTTGCCTGCAGTCTAAGGGTTTGAGTTCTGGGAGGGCTTCAGACCGAGGTAGGACATGGCAGAAAACCAGAGGCGCCAATGTGTGTGTGCGAACAAGGGGGTGAAGGCTTGCAGGCCTGTGCTGTTAGCTCAGCTCTGGGAGAAAGGGCTCATCCCTCTTGCGACCCTGTCTGGCTCACTACCCTCCCTGAGGGCGGCTAAGGCAGGTGATGAGTCACTGAGGGTCTCTGCCCAGCAGACCACATGCCTCCAGGTTCTGTCCAGTGTTCAATCCACACAGCGGCTGGTCAGTCCGTGTCTGAATGAGTCCCCCAACACTGGCAACTGCCAAAGTAGGAGTGGAGAGAGGTCAAAGGGCTGTAGGTTGAGAGCCTTGTGGAAACAGAGGTCAAATGTGGGAGCCCAGCAGGTAAACTGAGTCCTGCTTGGGGCTGACTGTGTGGGGAGTGCACACAAGGCCTGGAATTTACTGCTAAGAGTAAAGCCCCAAAGAGGGTCGGACCAGGACTCCAGGGCTCCCTGCAGTGCTTCCAAGAACCCGGGGTTGGAATCCAGGGTGGGAAGGTCCCAAGGCTGAGAGAAGGGCTGGGACCTCGCGCCCCCTTCTTCACCCATGGCTGATACATTTTGTTTCTCCTCTTGAAGGTCCCGGGATCCTCGCAATGCTAGGCTTGTTTACAACAGTCAGGTCTTGTGTTTCTTTCTGAAATGAAACTTTTATCTTAAAAACAAATATATCCAACACAGTATGTCCTAACCTCAGTATTCTATTCCCATCTTTCCCAACTCTGCGGGGAAGGGAGGAAGTCACGGGTTCACTGGGGCACAGGAAGAAAACAAAAGAGAAGTTTTTTTCGTACTTTTTCCCTCCCCTTCTGGGCTTCTGTTACAATGTGTTGAAGATACACAGGAAATTTAAGCCACAACTTGCCCTTGATCCCCCTCACCCCAGCTCTTTAGATGTTTAGGAAAACCTAACTATGTGGCCACGAAGCACAAGATTAGGATGTGGTACCCCAAAACAGTCAGGGCAACAGAACAGAGCGGCAAGGGATTCTGAGGCCGCACAGTTGGGCCTTAGGGGTCACTCCTGGCCCCGGAGTTTGCAGGGGCAGAGCACAGACGGCTTTTTGTTCTCGCCCAGCCTTCCCAGCCCCGGCCTTAGTCTTGCACAAGCTCCCCACGGGGCCAACGGGCGGGAGAGAGACCAGGTTCCCCGCAGGCAGTCGCCCAGCGGGTCCAGCAGTGCTGTGGGGGCCACATCTAACCCCGGCACCAGGCTGCAGGTAGCTGCAGGGGCAGGAGGACTTGCGGCGAAGGGCCGCGGCGCTGCAGTGCCGGGGCTAACAGACACATGCCCTGCGCGAGAGCGCCCGCCTCGGGCTTTGTGACACTCGGAGCCCGAGCGCGAGGGAGTGGCCTGTGCGCGCGGGGGCGCACGGATGGCGTTTCCGAGGCAGACTGGCCGGGTCGCCCCGGCCTGGGCTGCAGTTTCACCAGGCCTGCAGCAGTTGGAATGAGGTCACCGATTGTGCGGCCGGGCGGGGCGGGCCGTGGAGGCGAGGAAGTAGGACGAAAGGAGAGGCCGAGGGGGGCTGCGAGCCGGTGGGCCCCGCGCGGCGCAGGAGACAGCGGGCTCCCGACAGCGCGCGCCAGCCCGGGGCCAGGCCGCTGCCACCGCAGCCACTCGAGTGCGGGGTCTCGGCTCGGGCGTCTCCGGAGAGTGCGGGGCGGGAGCGCTGCCAGGAAGACGCACTCCCGCCCCCAGAGAGGCGCCGCCGCAGCCAGCCTCTTCTTCCTGCGTGTTGGGCGTTCTCTGTGGAGGTGGAAAGGAGAGGTCCTGCCTTCCTCGCTTGCTGTCGGACCTCGGGTTCTACCCGCAGCCTCTCCGGAGCCGCCCCCGGCCTCGCAAGCCCTGGCCGCGGGTCTTTGTCTTCGCCGTGCGCGTGGGCGCGCCCCCTCCCGGCAGCCCCGGCCCAGGGCTGCGCTCTGCCTGGCGCTGCCTGCTGAAATCTGTGAGGCTGCAGCCGGGCCGACAGACATCGTCCGGCCTCCCTCGCCTAAATTAAATGCTTAAATGAAAGTGTACGTAGCCCTGTGGTGGCGGCTTTCTCTCCGAAGACAGGCTTCTCGGAGACGGAAGAGAGGGTTGGACGGCGCTGCCCCCCCTTTTTTCCAGCAGGACCAACTTACATGCTTGTGCTGACAAAAGCTTCAGAAAATCGACTCATTTAACCTTTCCAAAGATGATATCTAAGCTGCAAGGCCTTGGCGATTGAAAGACCTTTTAATATATCAAAAAGCTTTAGTTGGGATTAAATGCAAAACGCCAGATTTTTCACTTTTAAAAATACACCACCTAAATGCAACCTAAGCACATTTGTAAGCTGGTGCAAGACAAATACTGCGAGAGCCTTCCCCCATTGTTCGCCCAGAGTGGCTTGAAACCAGAATCCTGGGAACTTGCTCTTCTTGACTGGTAGCAAGGGCCTTTGGACTCACAAAGGGGACTTTTCACTCTCCGAAGGACTGAACTGTGTGCATCGTGAGAAATGAGGAGGTGGTCTGGAAGATGGGGATCTAGGGCCCAAGGCTTCTGCAAGAGACTGGCCTGCCTGCAGCCTGCTGGAGAGCAGCTGCCCGCTGCAGCGTCAGGCACGTTGTAGGTGCTCAGCAATTAAACAACACACTCACGGGAAACAAGGATTGTGCCTAAGAGATACTGCAATGCACCTGGCTTTCTAGAAACCATAAATGAAAGGCTCTTCTGCTAAAACAAAAACAAAAGATGAATGTCAGAACGCACAGAGACAAAACAGAACCTATGGTCTCAAGACAATGTGTGCAGAAGCAATTTTCTTGTGAAAGTCTAAACAGAAGGTGCTTTAGTGCATCACACCGGTTCCATGGAAGCTGGCAAATAAATATTTCCACATGAAAGAAAATAGCCCTTTGAAAAGTGGCTTGTTCTCAAAAGAAAAATACAGCAAGGTGCCACTGCTTGGTGGCAGCGTGCATACATATTTATTTTTACAGCTTGAAATTATGTGCTTTTCCATTAGGACTTAGACGGTAAACACCAATTCCCACGTGAATCGAATTAGTCCAGACTCCCTTGCTAGTTCAGGAAGCAATAGCAAAACCTCTCATTGACAAATGCTGCCTGCATTTTATGCTTTGAGGATCTAGTACATTGAAAACAATTAATAACATACTAGAATGTTGAACTGTGGCTCATATTGAACCTGCATTTGCAACTATTCTGTCTTTCATTTTTGCTTTTATTTCCCTAAAATTAAAAAAACCTGACACATGTAACTTATCCTTTAGATTTAAAACAATCACGTGATCTGATCTGGTGTCAAGTCAGTGGGTGGCAGGAGAAATTCTGTCACATGATAGCATTGTTTGGTACTCATACAGATGGCTTTTTTTTCTTTACTAAACATACTCTTGACTAGAGTGTGAAGCTTAAGTCTGCTGCTTCCTTAGATTGGAGGTGCCCCGAGGGCGTTCGAAACCCTAGGAAACTGGCTCTGAGGTTTCAGAAGGATTCTTGCAGCCCGATTTTGAATCATTAAAATGAAAGTGGATTCTGCTCAGTACAAAAGCCTAATTAATTCATTAATTTAATTCAAGCAAATTCTTTCATTCATTTGCTCTCTAAATACTGATTGAAACCTGTTTTGTGTAAGAAGAGGCTGCCACTTTCTAAGAGGCCAAATTTCAAGGGTGAATTGAGTGTGAGATACCCCCATGACAAATATGCCCAAGAGCTTTGGATACTTGATTTAGACTTGTTCAGTTGCTACAAGATAATGTAGCAACTGTGGCACCACTGTGGGTGCGTGATCTGAGTTCTGAGTTTTAGTTTGTGCTTTAAAAGTCAGACTCCCATTGCTTCTTTAATCTACAACCTAACAGAAGCCTGGAGCTCCCTGGCGTATGAAGCTGTTGTTTAAGAGATGACGAATACAGTGCCTTATGCAGGGAAAGAAGGTAGGAGACGGGTGTCTCCTTTTGTCTGTGCTGGTGGCAGGGCCTGAGAATCGGTCTCTGCTCATTACGCAGAGGTCCTCTCCCCTCCCATCTGTGCCCTCATTTGTACAATGTAAACAGCTATGGCTCCTGTTTCTCTTTGTTCAAACAAACAATAGCCTTCATGATGATGAAGAAAATCAGGATCAAGAAGAAAACCAGGATCAGGTAAAAGCCCGGTCCTTTCAGGGTTTACCATTTGTTCTTTTCTCCAGGGGAACCAAGTCCAACAGTAACGGCATGAAGAAGAATTCACATTTAAGGTTTGGGAAACAACTGAGCAAAGGTCTGTCCTGGATCATACATAGACACACTTGTGATTGAGTTTTGTAGTTCTCTTTTTGCCTATCTGACTTCTAACTGAAGAGCTGAAGCTCAGCTTCAGAAAAGAGTGGTCAAAATTTGAGAGTCAGACAGTCCGTGGGCTCAGGCATGTTTCGCTATAGTCTAAGGAACAGGTTATGCCTGCCTCTTGTTATCTGGAGGTTAGGAATCCTCACCTAATCAGGGGACTAAATGTATGGCTAAGGAGTGTTTTGAAAGGAAGGAAGGGCGACCTAAGATATGCTCCGGGCACTGGATTCCTCACCAGCGACCAAGGGCTCTCTCCCTGTCTGCCTGTTACGGCCGCATCTGATCTGAAACTTAATCCCCTGGGAAATGCAGGGACGACTTTGAGAACAAAGTGTATTATTCTATGAAATAAGCTCAACTCAGGGCTCCATTTCCAGAAGGAATCCACATACTAGAATGTCTGATAGTAAGCCTGAGAGATTATATGGCTGCAGATTTTTACATTTTGGCTTTTTTTTTCCCCAATTACTATGAAAGTCACCTGTGTGAAAACAGTGATTTAATCTTTTGCTGCTCATTGTTTTCAGGGCTGAAAACAATTATTCTCTATTTAACGCACTGCTCCTTACAGTCTGATAGAACTTTCCTTCCAGTTTGTCGTAGAATTTGATTTTTTCAGCTGATATTCTAATATACCAATAATGGTTAATAGTAAGAAATAATAAAGTTTTTGCCACCTCCAACAGCTTTAAGACTTGGAGCTTAGTGAAATTAAGTAATTCAGATAGAAACATAATTATCCTTCCTATCTTTAATCACAGAAATTCAGACAAGGTTAAGAGCAACTTCATTTTTGTAGAAATGGGAAACGCTGACCAGGTGAGGAACGGCTGGATGTCGTTTACTAATGCTGTTATGCCCTTAGTGTTAAGGAAAGCAGCATAATAACATGAGATGAGATGGGGAGAAGAAGGAAAGAGATCCTTGAGTCAGGAGAGTTAATGTTTTCGCACACAGGCCATTCAGTGGAACCAAGGTAGCGATTCCGCAGACACGGTGAGGTCGAACTAGACAAAGTACACAGGCTGTTTGGGTTGCTTCCTTTTGGGACCAGCGTTATTTATAGGTCTAAATGTGTGATCCTAAAACACTACTTACTTATTTATTTGTTTGTTTATTTTATTTTAGAGAGAATAAAAAATAAGAAAAAACATTAAAAATGATACATAATTTTAAAACAAGCTGATAGGAAATCAACAATGGTTGTTATATTGCATATTGTTATCTTCAAAGTAGTTGTTCAGATTACCAGACATATGCATGTAAATTTGGTCAAGAAAAATTTAGCACTAACTATTCCTTGCAATAAACCAATAGAAATCAGTAGTACAATTATCTTAGCTATCATCTGTATGTGTGTGTGTGTGTGTATATAATTTTTTCCCCTTCTTTCTTTTTCTCCTTTCCCTAGCAGTTTCTTTCCCTTTTACAATATCTATTGTACCTTTTCGATTTTATTTACTCTTTCCATTTCTTACACTAGGGAGATAATATGGTGTTTACACATGTGGGTCTGATTTACTTATAAGACTCTGGCTTCTGGAAGCTTCAAGCTTCTTCCACTAACTTGATCTGGGGGGAATAGGAAGGAGATAAAGAGCACTAACTTCATTGTGGGAAGAAAAACCCAAAGAAAGGAGACATCTGTAAAGAACACATGTACTGATGTCCATTTACTACTGGGCTATGGCTCGGATGCAGAGGCAGAGTGGCCTTGGTGTCAGGGGCTATGGAATGATGGAAAGGCAGAAAGCGGGTTGGGGGAGGTGGGAGGCAAAGGGAAGCTCCCTTCCAAACCAGACCTTGGTCTCTTCCCTGGTTAGTTCTAGTGTTTTCTAAGGACCTTCCTCACAGGTAAGAGTGTAGCAGTTCCCTGCTAGCTCCTGCTTGTGAAGCACCAGAGAGTGAGTACTAGGCAGAGGTAGCATCTGTTGCTCTGCTAATACAGGGTCATTCACCACAGTCACCTTCTAAGATAGAATAGAGAGCACTTTCCTGGGCTCCCTGGGAATCATTAGCAAGGCATGTTCCCAGCTGTAAACTAGATTCTGGAGGTGGAGCCAGCAGTCTATTTTACAATCCTTCCTCCCTGGAAATCTAGTTAGGGTGGTCTTTCAGAAGCACTGGTTCACTCCAAAGGCTGTGATGGAGTTGATCCAGGGCACACTCCAGACCTTAGAGTTCCATGTGATCCCGACATACTCTGTCCTAGATGTGGGTCCTGTAGTCCTGTGACACCTGCAATGACCAATACAGGAAGCAGCCAGGGGCTATGGAGCACTTGGGACATGACCAATGCAACTGAAAAGCTGAATGTTTCACTTTATTTAATTATGATTAGTTTATGCTTACATAACACCGTGCGGAATGACTGCCTTACTCGATAGCAAGTTGTAGAGCTGTTTAGAAACATAGTATGACCTTGTTATAGTTGATTTTAAAGCACTAAGGCCTCATAGCACTGAAAATTTAAGGGGATATGAAGGAGGCATTGGAGAATCTTTGGAGGTTGTTTTAAAAATCACATTTGGTAGCTGGGCATGGTGGTGTATACCTGTAATCACAGCACTCGGGAGACTGAGGCAGGAGGATCGTTGGGAGTGCAAGACTAGCCTGGGCTACAAAGTAAGCACAAGGCCAGCCTGAACTGCATAGCGAGACCCTGTCTCAAAAAAAAAAATCACATTTGGCGATAAACAGATAACAGGGTATGGTAGACCCTAGAAATTTCTCCGGATTTCTTTCTGTCCAAGCTGAATTCATAGTTTTCCTTGTACAGAAAGCCCTACACAAGGGCATCTGACCCCCATTGCTCTAGGATGATAATGGACATAAGAATTGCAAGGGATATTATTTTTGTTTGGGGGGTTGTTTTTGGTACCAGGAATCAAACTCAGGACTTTGCACTTGCCAGGCAGGTGCTTGTGTCCCTGAACTATATTCCCACCCCCTCGAGGGATATTATTAAAAGCTCAGATTTCTAGGTCTACCTTACCCTAAATGTTCACATATAAAGGTCTGGGTTGAAGCCTAGGAACTGTGTTTTTGGCAGACATCCTGCTGCTTCAGGTGCCACAGTTTCAAGAAACAGGCTTTAAGAATCATGGTAATTGTGTTATTTTACAAACTAGGAAATCAGTATGAGTTAGAGTCTGTTTGTCTTTCCAGGAAAGTAGAAAAGATCATGCTTAAATAAAATGAATCTTCTTTATAATTCCTTCATGAATTCAACAAACTTTAGAAGTTGTGCAAGTTTGTTCTCAGTGGGGGGAGAACTGTGCATAAGATTTAGCCCCACCTGTTATGGTTGATACATTGTGTCAACTTGGGGAGTCCAGAGGTTTGGCTAAGTGACTCAGCAGTTCTACATCCTGGGGTGTAAAGGAAACGCCCTTCCTGCTCTAGGATGTTGTTCATTGCATCAATGTGAGCCGTTTAGAAGGTTAACTATGTGAGTGCTGGCCCCTGAATGGGGGTAGCCTGCTTACAATATAAGGGAGGGAAAGAGGATTGCACGCACTGCCATTCCCCCCTTTGCTCTTGTTGATTTGTTATCTTCTGCCTCCGGAGCCAGCCAAGTATGGACTGAAACCTCCACAAAATGTAAGCTAAATAAACCTTTCCTTCCTTCATTTTGGGCGCTGGGTATTTTGTCTCAACAACGAGAGAAAAGTAACCAAGATACCACCGTAACACCGTGAATCCCCTACAGGTGGCCTTTAGTTCATATTCACGAGTGTGAATTTTCCTTAAGTGACTGCTGTACATCTGTCAGCAACTGATCTACTTTCCTTTCCACGCTTCACCCCTGCAGGGTCCTTTTGGGTTAGGACTATGGCTGTCAGTGGGCTCATCCTTCCTTCCTAGGTTTCTGAAAGTCTTTACCCCAAACATGAGGCCCAAGCCCTGACTGCTGCTGCTTGCGGTCATGGTATTGCCACTTAACTTCCAGGCTCCTGGACATTACGCTGTTCCCATACCTTATAGAGTGACTGCATAATTTATTGTCCAAACTGAAATACTTTTCTAAGTAAATGAGAACAATATAAAAATTACATTGAAGCAGCAAGGAATGTCTGGGGCAGACAGGAATGTATTGTCACCCTAATTAGATGCCTCTGCTGTAAAGGAAACAAGGATGATGATGTCATACCTCTAGGTTAGGGCCAGGATTCCAAGTCAGGACTGAATGACACCACACTGACCGAGTTGAGTCTCCCAAAATTCATGTCCATGCAGAAGGCTCATAATGTGTCCTTATCTGGAAGTAAGATCTTTCAAGATGTAATTAGTAAAGATGAGATCATATTGGGGTAGAGTACTCCCTACTTCCAATGTTTAGTGTCCTCATTAGAAGAAAGGAGAGGACTTTTAGGGAGAACTACATGTAACCTGTGGGTCAGTGGATACCAAAGATTGCTGGAGTTGCCAGAGGTCAGGAGAGATTCTTCTTCATTGGATTCAGGAAAACAGTCTTGTTGACACATGGATTTTTGACTTCTGTCCTCTAGAATTTTGAGAGAATAAATGTCTATTGTTTGAGGACACCATTTTGTAGTCATTTGTTATGTAGCTTTAGAAAACTGATGCAGGCTCTAACACCAACCCTTACTCTCATTTCTTTTATGTAGAAGAGTGTCCAGGAATATAAGGCTTGGAGTCTGGGGACTGTGCTAGTTAGTTTTCTTACTGAGACACAATGCCTAATACCCATGAATTAGAAAAGAGATTTAGTTTGGCTTATGGTTTCAGGGGATTTGGTTCATGGTTAGCTGGCTTAAATCAGAAACATCACAGTGAAAGGGTGTGACAGAGCAAGGGTGCCTAGTTCATGGTGGCTGGATATCAAGATCAGAGGAATGGCACCCAAAAGCAAAGGCCAAGGGATCAAATATAGAACCCAGGGTCATGCCTCCTTGACCCACCCAGACATACCCAGTGTGTTCCACCAATCCCTCAGGCAGCTCCCAAGCCAGTAGAGTTGATGTGTTCAAGATTGTCACTCCCACCGCTTGTTGGTTTGACACCCAAGCTCATCTCGTTAAACCTTACTTAATCTCTAAATAAGCACAAGGTCATAATTCCTCCTAACATGATACAACTATCGTATGTATAACCAAAAACACAATAATCCCTTCCCCAGAGTATCAGCAGTGCTAGCCTTTTTCAAAAGTCTGGGCCTAACTCTCTACTAATACTCAGTAAAAAACCTCTGAGCTGTGAACCTCTATAAAAATAAAAACAACAAAAACAAGTAAGTTACATAACCCCAAGGTAAGGTAGGATAGGGTAAACGTTCCCATTCCAAAAGAAAAGAATAGGAAGATGGAAAAGAATTGGACCAAAACAAGCCTGAAACCCAGTGGAAAAAACATTAAGTCCTATAACTCCACATCTGGCAACTGGGGCTCCATATCTGGCAATGGTAAAACATGACAGCTCCAAAGATTTGGGCAGTCCTGTCCCTGTAGCCTTGATAGTTACAGTTCTCATGGCCTCTCTCTTGGGCTGGCTCCACTCATGGCCTGAAGCTTTCCTCAGCAGAAGTTCCATGTTCCTGATATCTCTCACTTTCTTAGGTCTCCACTGCACCTTGAGCTTCATTCGCATATCTTCACACACTGTCCTCTCAGGGACTCCTTACTTGTCCTTGCAGGTCGTCCTTTGAAATCTGAGTGGAAGCCTTCCTGAACTACCTCACACCTCTTGCATTGTGCATGCCAGTAAAACTAACATCATTCAGACAATGCTAAGGTCTGCTGTCAGTGGGAGCACCAGTCAGCCTCCCTTGGACCACAGGTACAGCAGCTTCTAAGTACCTGTATGGTTGATGATGGTGAAATGAATTCTGGGAGGCCAGTTTTCTAGGAAACCTTTCTTGAGCAGGGGTCCTGGGGACTCTCTTCTTTTACAAAATGTTTACATTTTTGTACCTTTGAGCTTGTGATGGGTGGGCTCTTTCTCATTCCTGAGATGCCCTCAAGGCACCTTTTTTGTTAGCCCTACAAAGTACCTGATTTCTTCTTAATGACACTAATCTCTTCAGCAGCCATATATCATTTGACTCCAAGTTTACACGTTTCATTTTGGACCAAAATTTTAATTCTCAAAGTTTTGCTCTGCTTTCTTGCCTCAAATCCTCACTATAAGTCTGGCTAAAGCTGCCAGCAGTATCAATGCCACAACCTGAATACCGAGCTGCCTTTGAATTTCCTACCATATCAATTAATATGACACATTTAGTCTCAGTTTTCTAAAAAGTCTGAAGACATAGGCAAAATGCAGACAAACTCTTGGCAGAGTATAACACACATGGCCTCTAGTCCAACTGCCACTGGAATTCTTGTTTCCAACTGAGCCCTCCTAAACCTGGCCTGTACTTTCTGTATTCCTGTAGCATTTTAGTTTTCTGCGTTCCAACCAGAATCACCCATCAGACTCTGCTTGACCAGACTCTCCATATCTCCAGAACCTTGCAAACTCCTCCACAAGCCAATTCCAAAAGCTTCTGAAACACATGGTCAGGCACAGTCACAACAACAATCCCACTTCTCTGGTACCAGTTTTCTGTAGTAGTCAGTGTTCTCATCTCTGAGACACAATACTCATAGCTTTAAACTGAGAAGTTAAAGTTAGTTAGACTCAGCACCGACAATTTAAAGGAAGAAAAATGTAATTTGTCTCATAGTTTCTGGGGATTCAGTCCATATTCACCTGGTTCCAAGGCAGAAACCTCATGGTGGAAGGGTGTGGTGGAACAAAGATGCTTAGTTCATGGTAGCCAGGAAGCAGAGCAGATCAGTGCCAGAGAAGAAGGGACAAGAGAGCAGATCTAATACCAAAGGCCAGACTCCATGACCCCCCCAGCCACAGCAGTAGTGAGCACCATCACTCCCCTGGGTACGTCTCAAGCCAATCAAGTTGACACAAATGAGTTTAACCATCATAGAGAGCTAAACTGAAATCCTAACTCTGTCATTTATTTTTCTATGAATTTTAGTAAATGATTTTTGAAGATTCACTTTGCTCATCTGTACAGATTGTTCTGTTGCTATTTTCTTTTTTTTCCAAACGTTTTTGTTTCATGTGGAACTTTTCCAAGTGCTAGAAATTTATAAATAAAAGACACAGTTCCTTCACTTAGAGAAAAATGCCTCTTATAGAGAATTGCAGACAAAAATATTGAATATAGTAGCATCTTTGCTTTTAAAGAATTTATAGTCTGGAGGAAGGGAAAAGACATATAAAGCATTACCCAATTTATTCTAGTGAGTATTATTTAAATGTATAGTAAACACTATCATTTGATGATGAGACCTGTTCCCTACTACTCTAGTCAAAAGGATAACAGGAGCTTAGGCATGGGCCCTGGACTCAGCCAGGAAGACAGTCGCCCAGGACTGTGAAACTGAAGAGTGAGAAGCACCAGTAGGAACAACTGGACTTTATTCATAGATGTTGCAGAAGTGTCATTGTATCCATATCCAGGACAACCCACATTCCTACTTTCTGATCTTCCCGAATAGGCTTTGTTCCTGTTCATCCTAGAAGCATTGCTCTTTAGGCCCTGGGAGCCCCAGCATCCTTTTGTAACATCTCCATGTCTTTGTTTAATATTGCCAGAGCCAATTTTTGTTGCTTACATTAGAGGAAGATGATTGGTACAAATATGGGAGCAAGTATAATGCACTTACCGTTTATGGTTATATATTCTCCCAGTAGCAGAGAGCACTGCAGCCCCGGTCATGTTCAAGGCTAGAAGGCTGGCAACCCTTAGCACAAAGTGGCAGAAGTACTAATTAAACTAAAACTTGTGGGGAATATAAATTAAAATGGTGGCATACAGACATCAAGAATTCTGTTGAGCGTAAAAATCAGTGAGATGAGAAAACTGGTTAAAATGTTGTAGTCAATTTTTCCAAATAACCTGAAGATTAACTAAAGACTTGAAGTGATCAGAGACCATTTACTCAAGGAACACAGCTGAGTCTTGATCAGAACAACCCCCTGGGGGAACATTAACTTGCCCCAGTTGCATTCATGCCTCCCCAACTAGACGACAGTCCCCAAATCTAACAGCCGGTATCCACGGTGAAAATCAGCAGCCTAGAAACCACTGGAGCAGGCAGCATGGGGTTGGTGCTATTTTAGCCTCCTTTGAGATAATTGTCTCCATCTGACTCAGCTAGTGTTTCCCTGGAAGGCCCTACTGAGAAGAAAGTCTTTACTTGCCTACTCAAATCTTGGCCAGTGCAAAGGGGTTATTTTTGAAAATACTTGTAGGTAATTGTGTTGCCTCAAATGATAGAAACCAAGTGGGGGAAATAATGGCTTCTCCAAAAACTTAGAAGAAAGCATAAAGGCATGTCCATGGAGTTGAAAAGCTCTGACAAACTGCTGGGGATCCAGAAGGCCATGTGTATGAGTAGGGCCATATTCATGAACAGGGCTGAGCACATGCTCAGGCCAGATTTGAGAAGATCCTAAGCTTGTGTCTCTGGATGATCTTGACGCTGTGTGCAAGCAGGAAGTGAAGGGAGGAGCTGTCAACTGCCTGGCTGTGTGTACGCCCCCAAACTGCACAGAATCCCTTGGCAAAAATGGGGAGACTTCTTGGTAGTGGGTAGTTAAGGTAACCTCTATCCAGTTGCTAGCTGACCTCTGCATGAACTGAGCAGAGAGGTCAGTGGCCATACATGAAAAAAATAGAGATTTCACAGAATTAGCTCAGAAAAATCACTAAATATGCAACAACAAACCCTCAGGAGGGGGAACAATTTTTTTATATCCAGAGTTATCACATTGGATTATTTTTAAAATCCTAGTTTTAGACAAAGAAATTTTGAGACAGGCAAAAAACAATGTATGGCCCATACACAGGGAACAACTGTGGACTTAAATCTTAAAATCAGCTGTTTTTGAGCCAGGCATGTAGCTCAGCGGCATAGTGCCTGCCTAGCAAGCATAAAGTCCTGAGTTTGATTCCCAGCATCAAAAATAAAAAAAAAGATAAACTCAAGGCTTTTATAGGTAAATGGATGCAACTAGAGACCGTACTCATAAGTGAAATAAATTGGACCCACATGTGTAAACATCATATTGTATCCCTAGTGTAAGAACATGAAAGAGTAAATAAAACCCAAAATGTACAATAGATAATATGAAAGTGAAAGAAATTGCTCAAAGGAAGGAACAACTGGGATGAGGGAAAGAAGAAAAAGAAAGTACTAAGGTATTTTTAATATATATGGATAGCTGACAATGCTGATGTCTGGTGGTTTATTGAGGGGAACAGTTAATGCTTAAATTTTTTAATATATTTTGACTAATTTTGCATGCTTATATGTGGTAATCTGAGCAATTTATGTCAAGACAACAATATGCAGTATAAGAACCATTGGTGAATTCCTACAATCCTGTCTAGTGAAACTATGTATTGTCTCTAACATTCTTTTAAATTACTATTTTCTTAGTCCCTTTAATGGTTTGGTCAATCTTCCATTCTTACATCTGGTAACCTGAGCAACTTCGTTGGAGGTAACAAAATATAATATTACACCACTGTTAATCCCTATCATTTGGTTTGAAACTTGTATCATTTTTAATGTCCTTGCTTTGTTTTGTTTGTATTTTGCTATTGTCCTTTTATTTTTTTAACTATTCTCTTTAAAATAAAAAATAAAAATAAAAAAAGAAACAAAAATCATTTGTTTTCTTTCTGTTCAAAGAACTAGAAGACTTCGAGGAAAATGGTGGAATGGTAAACAGCAACAAATCAGGCTCTGCAAGATTTGGAATCCAAAGAAGTAAAGAAAATCATGTTTAAAGAACTGAGGAAGGTATGACAATGATGTCTCAGTAAATTGAGAATATAAAAATTAGATAGAAGTTATAAAAATAATTAAATAAATATTCTGCAGTTGAAAAGTATAATAATGGAAAGGAAAAAATTCACACAGAAAAGGCCCAACCACTGATTTTAACAACGAAAAAACAAAATTCAGATTATATAATCTGAGGAGAAGAAAGAAAAAGGAATTAAAAAATTACAGAGCTTCAGAGACCTATACAACCTCTTTAAGCACAATTATTAGTTTGTTAGTAGGAGTTCAAAAGGGAGAAGAGAGAAAGATGTGGAAAAAATATTAGAATAAACAGTGACAAAATCTTTCCAAACCTATTGAGATACATAAACCTACACATCCAAGACATTCAATAAACTACATGTTGCATAAGTTCAGAGATCTACCCTGAAACCCATTGTAATGAAACTTTCAAAGGATGAAGACAGAAAGGACCTTGAAACAGACAGAGAGGACCTTGAAGCAGCAAGAGAGAAGCACTTTGCTGTGTACTAAGAATCCCCAAAGAGTGAAAGCTGCTTCTCTGACACTACAGCTGAGGCTGAGTAATTTACAAAGAGCAGAGCCTTATTTGGCTCATGGTTCTAGAAGCTGGGACATCTAAGAGTATCATCCTGGCAACTGGCAAGGGCTTTGCCCTGTCATCCCATTAGGGATGATAGAAAAGCAAGAGAGTGCATGAGGCAAAGAGGCAAGAGGCAGCCAAACCTGACTTTACAATGAATCCACTGTCATGATAACTAACACATAGAATGCACCCATAAGGGAAGAGCCTTCATGACCCACTCACCTCTCATCAGGCCCCACCTCCCAACACTGCCACACTGGGGACCAAGTTTCCAATAAATGAACCTTAGAGACACATTCAGACCATAGCACAGCTCATTTTTCTGCAGAAGGAAATCCTTCAGAAGGAAATGAAGGGACATTAGATAATAATTTCATTCTACATGATGAACAAAAGAACATTGGAACAGGTAACTCTACATATGATAATATTAATGTAGTTTTTATTTGTAACTCATCCTTTTCTCTACCTGACTTAAAGCAAACTGTGCAAAGCAGTATTTATAAATCTAGGGTGACATATAAAGTACTAAAACATAATATGTGAAAATAAAATGTATGAGAAGAGAACTATAAAGAAAGCATGTTTATGTTCAACTGAATCAAGTTGTTATGAATCCAAACTAGGTTTTTATAAATTAGAATACTAATTTTAATCCTCAGGGCAAAAGGGAAGAAAGTAACTAAAAATAAACAGGAAAAGAAACAAAGAAATTTAAATGGTACATTAGAAAATGTCTACTTAACAAACAAGAAGATAATAATGGAGGAATTGAGGGACAGAAGAATACAAAATATATAGAAACTAGTTGCAAAATGACAATTAGCTCACTATTTAACAGTAATTACATTACATGTGAGTGAATTAAACTCTATTGTGAAAAGACAGATATTTATGGAGTGAATTTTTTAAAAGCACATATGATCCAAGTGTATGCAATCTACAAAAATTCAATTAAATTCAAAGGCACAAATAGGTGAAAGTAAAAGGATGGAAAAAATATTCCTTGTAAGCAGTAACTACTGTAAGAGAGCTGGAGGTTTATGCTAACACTAATAAAAGTAAGCAGACTTTAAGAAAAAAAGCGATGATTAGATACAAAGAGTATTTTACAATAATAAAACATTCAATCCATTAAGAAGATATAACAAAGTCAGACATCGTGGTACAGACCTGTAATCCCAGATACTCTGGAGGCAGAAGCAAGATCATCACCTACCTTTACCTACCTCAAAGTAAAAATTTTAAGAAGTGCTATGGTTGTAGCTCAGTGCTCTCTGAGTTCAATTGCAAGTATGACAAGAAGTACCAAGACAAAAAGAAGGAGAAAGAGAAGAAGAAAACTAAGGGGGATAAATAACAATTACAAACATGTATGCACCTGAATAGGCCCCCAAATACATAAAGCTACAATTTATGGAACTGTAGGGAGAAATAAGAGAGATGGACAATAATGTCTGAAGATTTCAACATACTGCATTCATTAATGGACAGAAAACTAGACAAAAGATCAGCAATGACATAGAAGATTTGGAAAAGATTATAAACCAAATAAATCTAATGGCATGTACAAAATACTCCAGTGAACAACAGGAGAATACATTCTTCTCAACTGCACATGGAATGTACTCTGGTATAAAATATTATGATATAAAACATGTCTCAATAAATTAATACACAAAGTATCTTCCTCAACCTAATGCAACAAAACCAGAGATCAGTAGCAGAAGACAAACGAAGAATTTATAAACATGCATAAACAACACACACTAAACTATAGTTAAGTCAAGGAAAATCACAAAGGAAATGTGAAAACACTCCGAGATTGATGAAAACAAAAGAAACCCACAAAATACCAAAAGTATGGAAAGTGGTCCGTAGAGGAAAATTTATAGTTGATACCTTAAGGAACTAGAAAAAGAAGAGAACACTAAAACACAAAGCAAGGAGAAGGAAGTCAATAATGAAGAGTAGAGTGGTCATAAACAAAAGACAGTAGTAAAATGATAGAGAAAATCAGTGAAATAAAAGATGGCTCTTTGAAAAAATCAGCAAAACTAACAAACTTTTTTTGCACTGACCAAGTAAAAAGAGCAAAGACTCAACTACAGTCAGGGGTGAAAACAGACACTAGTGTGAACCTCATATGACAAAAAGGATTATTACAGAACATTAAAAATTATATGCTAACATATTAGATAAACTACATAGAATGGACAAATTCCTAGAAACACACAAAATACCAAAACTGATTCAAGAAAAACATCAGTTACTGAGAATCTTATTAGGATTTGGTCAAGTAGAGAGAGCAAATCAGCCATCAAAAACTTCCTAATGTATCCCAGATACATTCAGTCAAATACTTAAAAAAGAACTAGCACAATTCTGCACAAAGTCTTTCAAAACATAGGAGAGAAATACCTTGTAACTCATCCTATGAGGCTACCAATTACACTGATATCAAAGCCAGACAAAGATATCACAAGAAAACTAGAGACCTTTCCTCTCAACATCAATGCAAAAATTTTTGAGGCTGGGGATTTAGCTCAGCGGCACAGCGCCTGCCTGGCAAGCGCAAGGTCATGAGTTCGATTCTCCGTACTGGAAAAAAAAAAAAAGGATAAAACCCAAAAATTTCCAAGAAAATATTGGCAATCTGATCCAAAAGCATATCAAAAAATTATACACCATGACCAAGTGATATACATCCCAGAAATTCATCAACAGATCAACATAAGAAATTTGATCAACATAAAGCCTCATATTAATAGAATGCAGATCATCTCAATAAATGCAAGAAACTACTTAACAAAAGGAACATACTTTTGTAATTAGAAATACCCAACAAAGTAGGAGAGAAGGGGACATTCTCAACTTCATAAATTTCTCTCAAAAAAATGCCACAATTGATATTGTACTTACTAGTAAAAAAGTAAAAACTTTTTCTAAGATACGGTGAAGAGTGTTAGCCTAGGCTGGAGTGTGGCTCATGGCTGAGTAGTAGAGCACTTGTCTGGCATGCGCAAGGCTCTGGGTTTGGTTCTCAGAAACACACACACAAAATTAACTCTGTCACTTCTATCCAACATGGTACTAGAGGCCATGGCAGTTAGACAAGCAAGAGAAATAACATACATGCAGATTGCAATATCTATTTGCAGAATAAATCATTTTATGTTTAGAAAGCCCCATGAGATGATCAAAAAATATTTTTAAACTATAACAGCTAATAAACAAGTTAAGCAAGGTTGCAGGCCAGATCGATACACAAAGGTCAGTCATATCTCTACATCCCAGTAATGAACAATCCAAAAATGAAACTGGGCAAATAATCCCTCTATAGTAACCTCAAAAATATTTAGGGATAAATTTAGTAAATAAGCTTGAGATTTGTACACTGAGGATCATAAAATATTGTCAAAGAAAATTAAATAAAACTTAAATAAATGAAAAGGTAATCCATGTTCATGGACTGGAAGATAGGAATGTTAAAATGAAACTATGGTAATATATCTTAATGTGGCTACAGACTCAGTGCAATCTTTACAATTTTTTTTTCTTTTTTGTTCTTGGGGATTGAACACAGGGATTCACACATACACCATATAAAGGTTTAGCAGGTTATTTTTCCAGAAATTAAAAAGCTGATCTTAATATGGAAATCAAGGAGACCCTCAAGCAGTCAAAACAATCTTGAAGCCAAAAGGAAGCTGGAGAACTGAAAATTTATGGTTTTAAAGCTATAATAATAAAGATACCACCATAATGATAGACATATATATCAGCAGAATAGACTTCAAAATCCAGAAAAATCTCCATACCTCTAGCGCCAACTGCTCTTTTAATAAGTGTACGATAACAGTTCAGCGAGGAGAGAATGGCATTTTCACTAAATGATGGTGGGATATCTGGATATCTACATATAAAATAATGAATTTGGATACCTTTCTCACACCATACACAAAAATTATTTCAAAATGCATCAAAGACCTAAAATACAAGAGCTAAAACCATAAACCTCTTGAAATGTGTTACCTTTCATGAGATTAGGTAATTATTTCTGAGATGACACCAAAAGTATAAGCAGCCAAAGGAAAAGAGAGATAATTTGAATTTCCTCAGAGTTAAAAATTTTTATGCTTTAAACCATACTCCCCCAAAATGAAAAAGACAACTAGTAGAATTGGGAAAATATTTACCAATCATATATCTGATAAATTTCTAGTATCTAGAATATGTGTATAAAGAACAGTTAAAGGTTAACAAAAAGACAACTCAATGAAGGATGGGCAAAGACTGGATAGATATTTTTCCAGAGAAGTTATACAAAATGTTAATGTGGCCACATCATTAGCAACTTGGGAGCTGGAACTCACAAGCACAGGAAAATACTCTTTCACACCCACAA